AGAAGTGCGCTCTTTCCTGCTTACTGAGGCAGCATGGAAGTACTGTGTAGCATTACCTCATTCCCATTGCAGAACTAGTCCTATGGTTGATGACGGGAATTGTAAACATTCGCTGTTGAACTCTTTTGCTGTCTTCAGGACTTTCTTTTGTACCTTGTATAGCTCTGTGCCTTATGGGTCTTTGAATCATTAATCGGAAGTACCTCTTCGCACAGATATTACAGGAGTATGTCAATCTGGTGGAAGATGTGGACACAAAGTTGAACTTAGCCACTAAGTTCAAGTGCCATGATGTCGTCATTGATGTGAGTCCCCAAGAAATGGGAGTCCTCCGTTAGATCCTCAGTGGCGGGGGTGCAGTGGTGGGGATTATAATATTCTCTGTCCAAGATCCTGAGGTGCTCCCACCAGTTTTGACTGAATGAACAGAATAATCTGGCAAGAGTTCGTTTGGAGACCAGCATTCCTGTATTATTTTCCCAGCCCTCTGACTAGTTTCTCTGTGTTTTTATAAACTTGTCATACTTAGAGAATTCATAGAACTAAATCAAGCTACATAAGCTGTGTAGTCTTCTCTCCAACATGGAGTTCTGTAGGCATTGGACCCCACTGTCATCCCACTATAGCCTCTTAGCCTCTCTTTGAGCCTTGGGTCAAAGTGATAATGACAAAAAGAAATAAGCCCTCATGTGGGCACAGTAGCACACACCTGTAGTTCCAGCTACTCAGGAGCCTGAGGAGAGAGGATTGCTTGAGCCCAGGAGTTTGAGACCATCCTGGGCAAAAAGAACCCTGTACAGAAGGCTGATTGGAGGTTTGTGTTGTTTGTTTTGATGCACAGACCTGCCGGGACCTGAAGGATCGTCAACAGTTGCTAGCATACAGGAGTAAGGTAGATAAAGGATCAGCAGAGGAGGAAAAGATTGATGCTCTTCTCAGCAGCTCGGTGAGCAGCTACAGTTTATCCCTCCAGCAGGCTCAGGAGACAGTTCACAAAACAATACCAAGTATATGTTCCCAAGGCCTGGAAGGATTGCAGTTGGCTAATCCACATGGATGTAAGGCTCTCCTCTGGCCACAATGTCAAAAGCACTGCTTTGAATAGCAGAAATTACTCCTGAGATGCGGTATGATAGGGGGTAATCTGGGGACCTCAAGCTAAGACTTAACTGTAATACTCTGATAATAGTTAAACCTAGCAGGTAGGAGAAACTAAATATTGAAAGTATGAAAACATGTTTCAGATTCAGAATATCCAAACTGTATGGTCTCATGGGGATGGATGGGACCTACCTGTTGAAAATAAGAAGTGGGTGAAATAGATGTTAGCTGTCTGGGGAGCACAGCTGGTTCATCTCTCACAGCATTAAATTACTGAACTTTTTGTTAATATGAAAGTTAGTTCCCTGTTAGGTATTTTGGGACCTACCTTAGAGTCAAATGACCAAAATTAGGCTTGTAAAATACAAAATAGGTGTTTAATGCATCTTTGAATAAATGAACTCCCCCACATATTTTTAAAAGTTTCTCAACATCTCCTACCTCCCGATCTGATTCTACTTTTTCTTTTCCTTACATTATCTAGCTATGAGCCTTGTTTTGTTGCATTTTCTCTGCCTTGCTATAGGGATAAGTGAAAACTGATCATACACCTTCATTGTTTCCTCTTTCCACAGCAAATTCGATGGAAGAATTAAGTGGCATTGACTACCCTGAAACCTGCCTCATTTCCTCCTTTCCTGCCTGTGAAAGTAGAGAGAGCTCCTCTTTGAGAGAGCTGCAGCATCACATCGCTTGGGCCCATTATCAACAGGCAGTGCCAGCTACTCTTGACACAGATAACTTCAGACTGAACTTCTGTCCAAGGAACATCATCTGAGGATTGAGATCTAAAGCTTTGACTCATGAGAATGATTCTCTCCACCTGGTGCTCATATGAAGGTGGGAGTGATTTCTAGATTGGGCCCCTACTGGGTAAGATCTCACTTGGTCTGAGAAAAGTGACTGCTCCAGAAAGGAAGAAGTACAGGTGTCATAGGGTGACCACTCCATTCCACTCAGCTAATTATGATCCAGGACTTGGTGCTGGACATTGGCAGTTCTGCTCTGAATGAAGTCAGAACAGAACCAAAATGGCCTCAGGAAGGAATGCCAGTGTTTCCCAAGACCTGCTGGAGATGCACTCACACCAGACTGCACAGACCCCTCCACATTATGCCACACATTGCCTAGACGTTGTGTTTCCTCAGCCATTTCCCCTCTGCTGCCCAGTTTACTCTGTCCAAAACCCTAAGGTTCTTCTCTCACTTGAACACAGTTGACCTTGCTTGGGTGATGAGACATCCCCTTTATCTCTTCCTCTACTGCTAGCCCAGACCTGTCACTTTCTAAGAAGCTCAGATGCAGCAGTGCTGGAGAGCTCTCTCTTTATGCAAAAATCTCATTTCACCAGGAGCTTTCAGAAGTTTCACCTGGGCTAAACTCAGCAGCATTTCTGTTAGGATATTTACATGGAGGTTTTATTTTCACACTTGGATTCTTCCTTTGTACCAATATTTGCCTCCTTTTCTGTGACTGAACTGGGTTTTTCTGACATGCGTAGACTCCTAATAAAAGTATTTCTTCCTTGGTGCCTTCTCTCCTGCTCCTGGTGGTTTTGTGCAGAATTATGAAATAATTGCTCAGGATCTTAGGATTATTACAAGTCTTCCTCAATGACTGCATTCAGCAGCCTGTCAGCACATGTCAGGTTATAGAGTAACAGTGCTATGGCAAAGCAGGGCTATGTGGTTAACAGAAGCCTGACTTTCTCCAACTCTACCACTAACTAGTTATGTGATGCTGGGTGAGTCCCTTTCTTTCTCTGGATTCATTAGATAATCTAAAATTTTATAGAGTTTGTTTGTTTGTGAGACGGAGTCTCGCTCTGTCACCCAGGCTGGAGTGCAGTGGCGCTCTCAGCTCACTGCAACCTCCACCTCCCAGGTTCAGATGATTCTCCTGCCTCAGCCTCCTGAGTAGCTGGGATTACAGGTGCCTGCCACCACGCCCAACTAATTTTTGTATTTTTAGTAGAGACGGGGTTTCACCATGTTGGCCAGGCTGGTCTTGAACTCCTGACCTCAGGTGATCCTCCTGCCTTGGCCTCCCAAAGTGTTGGGATTACAGGCATGAGCCACCGCACCCGGCCTGTTTTTAAATAGACATGGTCTTGCTCTGTCACCCTCATGGCTCACTGCAGCCTTGACATCCCAGACTCAAGCAATCTTCCTGCTTCAGCCTCCTGAGTAGCTGGGACTACAGGCACGTGCCACCACACCCAGCTAACATTTTGTAGAGTTCTGTGCTCCTGTGACTGTGGAGTGGGTGAAGTCACAGAAAGAAAAGAGAAGATGCTCTTACAGAGGCGCATACCATGCTTTAAGGCAATATGGTTCTCAACTGGAGGCAGTTTTGCCCCTCAAGAGACATTTGGCAATGTTCGAAGTTGCTTTCTGTTGCCACACTAGGAGTGCTACTGGCATCCAGTGGGTAGAGGTCAGGGATGCTGCTAAATGTCCTACAATCCATGGGACACCCCACAACAAAGAATTATCCTGCCCAAATGTTAGTAACACCAGTGTTAAGAAACTCTGCTTTAAGGGGATCAGACTCCAGCTTTTGCTTCTCCACTTTGCAGTTCTGGGTAACCTCATGTTTAGTTCCTTTCTTGATCATCCTTCTTGCTATTGAAGAAACAAGAGTTTTATTTGCTAGATTGTACTAAAATTATTGGTTCATCTTCAAACAAATAGTGGTTACTTTATTAACTAGTATATTGGTTAGAGTTCATTTAGAGAAGCAGAACCATTGGGCATATATATGCATTATCTAATCTAATCTATATATGCAGTTTGTTAGAGACATTTGACCTTTCTCTGACCTGTTAGAGAAATTGGATGAGAAGTACTGAGGAGTAGAGCCTGCCTTTTCTGTTTGAGTACTTCCACTCAAGTATGGCAGCTGGAGGGTCTGCTTAAGGTAGTTGTCTTCATGTCCAGTGGTAGAGCTTGAAATCCATAGGGAAGGCCGTGAAGAAGGGAAGATCATTATAAAGTGAGTGAGCGGGGACTAGGACCCATGTCAGTTCACATAGCCCCCAACCTTCATGAAGTGGGTGTCCTGCTGCTGGAAAAGCTAGTGGCCTTTGTCATGGAACTGAAAAACACCCAGCCCAGGAGTGAGCAACTGAAGGAGGAACCAGGGAAGATGTAGCAGTTACAGGTCCAACTGTTGCCCCTCACCAGCAAGGTACCCAGCAGATAAACAGCAACATGTGTGAACTACAAAAGTACTTCCCCTGATTATGCACACTGAAACACAGGTTGGTTGCTGTTCATTTCCACCCTCCTGGTCTTGCACAGAAATATCTCCAGTGGTCCACCTTAACCACTTAACATACAGGGAAGGGAATTCTGGAAATTGCAGTTCAGCCTAGCCAAGGTGACATGATACAAAACAGTAACAACTGATCCCTACTTTTGAGAATGCATAAGTAAAGGATAGGCCTAGAATTCATGTCTGTACAACTTGTATGCTGCATTGGTCATACTGATCTAGGAGGTTTTGAGCTTCTTTTTCCTTTGGGGAAGGAAGCATTACTTGGCAACATTAGGATGACCTACTGACTGTTTTGGTGTAAGGAAGTGTTTCTTGGGTTTGATGAGAACTTCCATGCCCCACATTTCAAGTATAGAGGCTTTGCTTTTGTTTTATGTTACTTTATTTTTTTTGAGATGGCGTCTCGTTCTGTCGCTGAGGCTGGAGTGCAGTGGCACAATCTCTGCTCAGTGCAACCAACCTCCACCTCCCAGGTTCAAGCAATTCTCCTGCCGCAGCCTCCTGAGTAGCCAAGATTACAGGCATGTGCTATCACACCTGGCTAATTTTTGTATTTTTAGTAGGGACGGGGTTTCACCGTGTTGACCAGGCTGGTCTCGAACTCCTGACCTCAAGTGATCCACCTGTTTCAGTCTCCCAAAGTACTGGGATTATAGGCATGAGCCACTGTGCCTGGGTGAGACTTTGCTTTTAAAGAGATTGTGTCACATAACAGCCTTCCTATAAAAGGGATTAGAGAAGCCAGACACAAAAGGTCACATACTGTATGATTCCATTTATATAAAATATCTGGAATAGGTAAATCCATCCAGACAGAAAGCAGACTGGTGGTTCCAGAGGCTGAGGGTGGGGAGGGATATGGAGTAACTGCTTGATGGGTGTAGGCTTTCCCCTTGGGAATATGAAAGTATTTTGGAACTACATAGAGGTGGTGGCACAACATTCTGAATGTATTGATGAATTGTTCACTTTAAAATGGCTAATTTTATGTTATGTGGATTTCACCTGAAAAAATTTTTATTGGTTTCTTGAACACAAAAAGGAGTTGTAAACTAACTCAAGTAGTGCTAAGATCTGTAAGATACTTTAGTCTGCAAAAAAAAAAAAACCTAGAAATCCAGAATCTTCTTTTGGGAAAAGGAGGGTCTCATACTGCTCTAGTGTGGTACTCCTAGAAGTAGTGGAAGGAACTCATGTCCTGATATTCAGCTCAGGAAAACCTCTAAGTGGGGCTGGCCCCTTTAAGACTCAGAGACTGTAATCTGGTAGTTAAGGAGTCATAATCACAAGTTTCTTGGGTAATTCTCCTTAGAAATGTAGTTCTTACCTTCCAGGATCAGAAGTACTGAGGAGCAGAGCCAATCTTCTCTGTTTGGTGATAGATATATGTAGATGGGTTTATATGACTTTGAGTTTAGTTTATAAAATTTAGATGTCCCTGTCCTAGACAGGGGACAGTGATATTTAGTTTGGGTTCTTTTCTACCCTGTGGAGAACAGAGTTCAGTGAAAGGGAAGCATTTCTTTGAAATGTGGTTCTATGTGTTCAGTCCTATTTCCAAAACGCAGGAGGGAATGGAAGGGAAAACGTCCTGGCTCAAGAATACCTGTAAAACTCAATTGCTGTTGTAAATTCATCTGCCAAAAACAGTGCCTGTAACCCATGTGGAGAAACAACACTTTGGGTTTCTGTACAGATTTTTCATGAGTCCAGGATTCATGGGCAGCCAGTGATTAGGAATCCTCAAACACTCACACTCTAGAGTGTGAATTCAAGAGAGGTGAATTCCAAGTTCAGAATTTGGGAGTAGAGAGTTGCTGAAGCCCACCAGCGTGAGTGCTTGTGACCTGGGCACACATACCATCATACACACACCTCCTACATAGACCCTTCTTCTACCAGGACAGGGAGCCAAACTGATTAGTATCTATCACTGCAGGAAATAGTGGCTTGGAAATGGACATGCTCCAGGACCTTGAGTCCCTGCAGTTTGAGTATGGGGTTCCAGAGGAAGATCGTATCTGGCTGTATTTGCAGGGCCGTTCTCGGGGACTGATGATAGAAGCTTGTGCCCATGCAACCTTCTTCTGCAAACTATTATATAATTTGAGGTAAGCTGAGTATCCAAATTGAGGAAGTTGGACAAGAATCTCACTGCTGAGAATTCAAATGTCTTACATTTTTTTATATCGGAGGGTAAGTTTGGCTGGTGGATTGTCGTCCTATCTTTTCCAACCCAGAGTCAATGACTCCTGGTCTGAAAGGACAGGAAAATCTATACCAGGGTCCCCTAGCTGTGGTTACATAATAAAGCATGGACTAGTAGTGATTACCTTTTAGTGGATGGATTGATTAAATGATCATTTGTTCGTCCATTCACTCACTCATCATGACCACCAGCTTGCCCTCCACAGTTGCTAATGTCTAGCCATTCCTTATCTATTGGCAAGGAGTGCAAATGGAATCAGTTCTTTCTTTTGGGGCTGAGGTAATAGTGGAATGCTCCCTTACAGGAAGGCTACCCAGGCCTTCACAGGTCCTGTGCCAGTGACTTCCTTGAAACCAGGAATATTGATTTGCAGAAAAGCTCTCAGTCCAGTCTTGATTCTGATATCAATATGGCTTCAGACACTTAAATAGGAAATGTGTGTGAAGCATGTACCTATAATCAGGCTCCTGAATTCTGCAACTCCAGGTCACTCTGGGAGCATATGTCACCTCCTCACTCTACTTCTTAGTTTTTCTCTGAAGTTAGATTAATTCCTGGATGGTGGGACCAGATTTGAATTAAACATGTTTATAGATATAGCATATATCCAAGGAGGCAGGCTGCTCAGTGAATTTATGGATTGGCTTACTGATAAGGATGCATAAACCTATTGGTGGTACTCAATATGACTGGTGAGGAAACAATACATGAAACTTGCAGGTGGCATTTTATATTTGGAAGGATCAGGCACTAAGAGAAAGTGCTCTTTCAACCAGGAGAGAAGGCTTAAATAGAGTGTGACTTGTGTTGCTTAGAAGCAAAATCCAGAGCTTTAAGACACTGGTTTTTACAGAAATGCAGAACAAATATAAGGCTGTCATATAGCAATGAAAGTATACCTTATGTATTCAGAAGTCTGACTTTGTTAATCTTGGGCCGAGGAAACACATCCAGCACCAACAGTAAGTGGACCTCTAAAAATAGTGGTCTGAAATCTTCATCCTTAGTTTCTCAGTTCTGTTCCTTTTTGTTTTGTTGTTTAAATTTGTACCCTGAATGAACAGTTTTGTTTTTATAAACCATTTATGTTCATAAGTCATAACCTTCTTAAAAAGCCAAGTTATCTGGTTTCTCAAGTCTGCAGATTTGAAATAGCAAACTAGAAAGAGTGGGCGTATCATAGGAAAGGAATGCACTCACATCTAATAGCAATAAAAATTGACAGCTGTCTTAGACAGTGGTATCATTGACAGTGGTATCAGTAAGATGAAGAAATAGGAAGCTCCAGACTTTGTAACCTTGAGACACTAACTTAACAACATATGGTCCAAAAGCCTTTATGAAAACTCCAGCAAGCACTTAAGAAATTGTAGTGCCCCAGAGAGGTACAAATCCAAGAATAGCTGCATTTACAGGGATAAGAAAAGCTATTGCAGTTCACCTAAGATATTCCTTTCCTCAAGCCAGCCTCAGGTGAGCAGGAGAAAATGCCTAATTTGTGGCTTCTCCCTTGGAGGGAAAAAGAAAAATGGAATGTTTGTCCACTGTTCTACCTTTTGGGGGGCTGTCTAAGGGATTGGTTTCTGTCTCACATGACTTGGAGCATCGGTGAGGAACCAACATATTTTGGATGAAAACAAAGGATCACTCAGTGACTTGTTGCAGTACAGAGAACCTGCAGTACTGCAGATAGATACCAGAGTGAGGAAAAGATTATGAGTCCCTGCAATAGAAACAGGCAAAACTCTTTAATTGGGAAATTCCAAACCCCGGGCCAGAGAAGACTCATTCCTGGAAAGATTTGACAGGCCCCAGAATCTCTAGTTGGGCTGATTGGGAAAGATCTTCCCCTGTATGGTGCCAGTCTGTAAAGACTGGGAGAGACCTGACTGTTCTTTCAAAAGCCCAAATCCAGCAAAAAATAAAAAGGCAATATTGCTCAACCATAGGAACAAACTACTGCAGAAACCAGCCCTAAAGAAACAGATCTATGAGATGCCTAACACAAAATTCAAAATAATAATCTTAAAGAGGCTCAGTGAGCTACAAGACACAGAAAAACAACTAGGCCGGGCACAGTTTACAGATTAATTTGTAATTACAGGCCTGTAATCCCAGCAATTTGGGATGCTGAGGTGGGAGAGTTATTTGAGCCCAGGAGTTTGAGACCAGCCTGGGCAACATAGTGAGACCCTGTCTCTATGAAAAAAAAAAAAAAAAGTGATGAAATCAGGAAAACAATACATGAATAAAATAATATCATAAAGAGAAACAACCAAAATTTGGAGCTGGAGAGCACAATAATTGAATTGAAACAACTCACTAGAGTGGTTCAACATTAGACTTGATCACACAGAAGAAAGAATCAGCAAACTTGAAGAGCAATTATTTGAGATTATCAAATCAGAAGAGCAAAAGGAAAATTAAGAAAAGTGAAGAAAATCTAGAGGACTTACGGGATACTATTAAGTGGGTCAATATATGCCTTATGGGAATGTCAGAAGGAGAAGAGAGACAGAGCAAGGTGCAAAGAGCTTATTTGAAGGAATAATGGCCAAAAACATCCCAGATCTGAGGAAGGAAATGGACATCCAAATTCAGGAAGTTCAGAGGACTCCAATTTGGATGAACCCAAGGAGGACTACACAGAGACACATTATAATCAAACCATCAAAAGTCAAAGGCAAAGAATACTGAAAACTGCAAAGAAAAAGCAACTTATCACACACAAGGGAGTTCACAGAAGACTATCAGTGGCTTCTTAGCAGAAACATTACAGGCCAGAGGGAGTGCTTGATATATTCAAAGTGCTAAAAGGGGAAAGAAAAAAAAAAAACCTGTCAACCAAGAATACTATATCTGGCAAACCTGTGCTTCAAAAATTAAGGAGAAGCTGGGCACGGTGGCTCATGGCTGTAATCCCAGTACTTTGGGAGGCCGAGGTGAGCAGATCACCTGAGGTCAGGAGTTCAAGGCCAGCCTGGCCAACATGGTGAAACTCTATCTCTACTAAAAATACAAAAATTAGCTGGGCGTGGTGGTGGGCACCTGTAATCCCAGATACTTGGGAGGCTGAGGCAGGAGTATTGCTTGAACCCAGGGAGGCAGAGGTTGCAGTGAGCTGAGATTGCACCACTACACTTCAGCCTGGGTGACAAGAGCAGAACTCCATCTCAAGGAAAAAAAAAAAAAAAAAAAGGAGAAGGAGCTTCCCAGATAAACAATAACAACAAAAAACCTCATCACTTCTGGACCTGCCTTACGACTAATGCTGAAGGGAATCCTTAAGTTGAAATGAAAACATGCTAGTCAACAACACAAAAGTATACAAAAATAAAAAGCTCTCTAGCAAAGGTGAATATATAACCATATACATAATACTGTGATGGGTGGTACATAAATCATTTTTAATTGTGGTATAGGATTTAAAGATAAAAGCTGGCCAACTGTGATGGCTCACACCTATAATCCCAGCACTTTGGGAGGCCAAGGCAGGAGAATTGCTTGGGCTTAGGTGTTTGAGACTAGCCTGGGCAACACAGGGAGACAACATCTCTTTAAAAAAAAAAATTAGCTGGGCATAGTGGCACACACCTGTGGTCTCAGGTATTTGGTAGTCTGATGTGGGAGGATCGCTTGAGCCTGGAAAGTTGAGGCTGCAGTGAGCCATGATCATGTCACTGCACTCCAACCTGGGTGACAGAGTGAGACCCTGTCTCATAAAAAGATAAATAAAATATATATATGTAAATAATATAGAAATAATAAAATGTAGAAAGTAAAATTATAACTATCAATAAGTATAAATATAAATAAATAATAAAAATTAAAAATAGGCTTGTCACGGTAGCTTACGCCTGTAATCCAGCACTTTGGGAGGCTGAGGCAGGCAGATCGCTTGATTCCAGAAGTTCGAGACCAACCTAGGCAATGTGGTAAAATCCTGTCTCTACTAGAAATAACAAAATTAGCCAAGTATGGTGGTATGTGCCTGTACTCCCAGCTACCTGGGAGGCTGAGGCGGGAGGATCACCTGAGCCCAGGAGATCAAGGCTGAAGTGAGCTGTGTTCACGCCACTGCACTCTAGCTTGGGCCACAGGGTGAGACCCTGTCTCAAAAATAAAAATACTGAAAAAAAACTATTACTATAAAACCATGCTAATGGATAAAAAATATCCAAAAGATATAATTCGTGAGATAAATAACAAAAAGCAGAGGCAGGAAAAGATGAAGTAGAGTTTTTGTATATGATTGATGTTATCTTAAAATAGGTTGTTACAACTATTTTTATGATTTTTATGCAATTTCCTATGGTAACTACAAAGAAAATATCAACAGAAAAAAAGAAAATAATATAATTACAAAAAAAATCAGTGAAACACAAAAGAAAGCAGCAGGAGAGGAAAAGAGGAACAAAACTGCAACACATGGAGAAAAAACAAAATGGCAGTGATAAGTCTGTCTCTGTCAGTAATTATTTTAAATGTAAATGGATTAAGCCCATTAATCAAAAGATACCAAGTGACTGAATGGATTTAAAAAAAAAAAAAAAAACAAGATTCAATACATATCTTATCTTCAAGAGACTCACTTTAGATGTTAGGACACAGACTGAAAGAGCATAGAGAAAGATAATTCCATGTAAATGGTAACCAAAAAAGAATAGGAGTGGTCATACCTGTATCAGACAAAATAGATTTTCAAAAACTGTCATGAGAGACAAAGAATGACATGATGATAAAAAGATCAATTCACCAGGAAGATACAACAATTATACATGTACCTAACATCAGAACATCCACATATATGAGGCAAATATTGACAGAACTGAAGGTAAACAATTATAGCAGAAGATTTTAATACCCAACTTTCAATAGTGGATAGAACAACCAGACAAAAGGTTAATAAGAAAACAGAAGACTTGAACAACACAATACACCAGTTAGAACCTAACAGACAAGTGCATAACACTCCACTCAACAGCAGCAGAATACACGTTCTTTTCAAGTGCACATGGAACATTTTCCAGGATAGATCAACGTTAGGTCACAAAACAAGTCCTAACAAATTTAAATAGATTCAAATCATACCAACCGTCTTTTTTTTTTTTTTTTTTACCATAATAGAATGATACTAGAAACAGCAGAAGAAAAACTAGAAAATTCACAAATATGTGGAAGTTAACACAACTCTTGAACAACCAATTGATCAAACAGGAAATCACAAGGAAAATTTGAAAATATCTTAAGTGAAAATGAAAATGACATACCAAAACGTATGGATTGCAACAAAAGCAGTACCATGAGCAAACTTTATAGGAGTAAATGCCTACATTAA